TGCTTTTGTCGTCATGTCTTTTCGTCAAAAGGCATTAAAAAGATAGAAATACAGACTCAAAAAGAGAAAAAAAGACAATTAGCTAAAATCAAAGGGCAACAAAACAAAAGAAAACAACAACATGCAAATTAACTTACAACCAAAACCAAGATATTAAAGACAAAAAAGAAAAAGAAAAAAACAGTGGAGAATATTCTAAACTAAAATAAATATCTTTCTCCATAATGAAATTCGACATAATTATTCCTCTCCCTTAAAAGGACCAGTGTGTAGGATTTAGTGGCATCTAGCATTGAACCATCCAACCAACTGAATAACACTTCCAGGTGTGTGGAAGAAACTACAGTGGCCACAAAACTTGCAAAAAAAGAGAAAAATGCCCTATCTACAGCCAGTGTTTGGTTTGTCCATTCTGGACTAATGTAGAAACATGGTGGTTCAACATGGTGGACTCCACCAAAATAGGACCCGCTCCCTCTGTAGATAAAAACAACTCATATGGTAACAAAAACTGTTTTTTTTTTCTTTTTTTCAAGCGATGATGACACTAATGAAAACATACCTATGAGTATTTTATTCCATTTTCTAACAATAGATCCTCCTAAATGTTACACACTGGACCTTTAAGTTATGCCATTACACTACTAAGTTTATTTACAGGTTAGTTTATGTTTGCAGTGTGGACGAGGTCGACCACCATGAGATATAAAGACGAGTTTATGATTTTATTTATTACACTATCATCCATCATCATGGCTCAACACATGACAGATGGGGACTGGAGAGGAAGGGGGCTTTGGCAAAAAAATACATACAATAATTAGGAGATGTCAAATGATGACATGGCTGACATGAGTGCAGGTGACATTTGGTTTCTTCTGTTGAACACAGTAGTATTGTCAGACAGGCTTTAGTATCTATCTATCTGGACATAAGTGAAGAAAACAACACACACACAAATAGTATTATTTGGTTGTAAAATGTTGACAGGAGGTTTTTTTGTTTCACTTAATGTGACATATCAAAGACAAAGATCCCCTCCAGGTCGGACTGATACATTTATATATGTTTATATAGAGGCATATATGTATTCTTTATTATACAAATATAGAGTAACCCGTGTTTTTGTTTGTAATGTTGTTGTTCTTTAACAGTAAAGGAGAGTGAGTGCTTCACAGCAGAACAATGAACGAAGTTTAAAGATACAATCCTTGATTTTGTTATAGTGCACAATAGCGCCCCCAAATGTCAGAATCTCCCTCTAGCTCACCAAAAGTTTTAAACCTGCACTGTCCCAAATGCATACGATGAACACATTTGAAGTACAGTATGTGCTATATACGAATTGTCACACTATAGTATTTTACGAATCAATATTTACCCAAGGCGATATATCGCCATTTAAAAAAAATATATATATATATTTTAGAAAAACTAACATTATAAAGAACACACCACTGTATGCTTAAAATCTTTAAAAAGTTAACTTTTTTATGCAGCCAGAACAATGGGATCTGCATTTGTATTTATCACAACCGCTGTAACATCCAACGTTTACAACACTGCTATCTAGTGATTAGGTGTTTAAACACAAAAATTGACAGTATTTTTAAGAATTGATACATCACAAAACAAAACATTGCGATACTCAAGTGTATTAATATTTTCTTACTTGCACTAACAGATGTCAATGAAACTGTGACTTCGGAATGCCACTGCCAATTGAAGTGGCACTGCAGTGATTTATTGTTATACTTCATTAAATGCAATTTTTTTTTAAAAAAGGGGCCAAGATCAAAGCAGCAGAGGTAGAGATATCCTGACTAAGTCCCTAGTTTGGATCAAATATACTTAGTCAATTTTACTGTTTAAAACAAGCAGTATATACATTTATAGATCCAGTGGGTTCCTTGAAACCGAGATCAAAATTTGTCTAATTGGAAGGAGCAGGGTCCTGGTGTGTTTGCAAATGTGTGTCTTCTATTGTAAAGTTACATATGATTTATATTTGTGAGCTAGGAATATGTTTTGGGGCGGTGGTGGTTCTATTGCGAACTACAACTTCACCAAGGATTGTCTTTGACTATGCCTTCAAGTTTAAAAAAGGTTTACAGTTCCTCACCTAGTGCATGCTTTTCACATACTTGGAAAGTACTCATGGTATATTTAATACACTGGTAGGCAAGAGAGTGTATATAGTTAATGTGCACACACTGAATGCTTAGAACAACAGCAGAGTGATGGGGTGCAGCTGTATGAACGCTTACAACACAATGAAGCTGACACAGTACGCTGTACTGTGCTAACTGCAATCTATGCAGAAAATGATTCATATACATGGGAACAGAAAATAAAAGGAGGCTATGTATGCTAACTCCAAGCGGTAGTGTTCATTATTATACAGTACATTCAGCTAATCTAAGAATCGTGTCACATTCCTCTTATGAAATTGCATACAGTTAAGGACATAAGCAAAGTAACAAGCTAAATGCTGAACCTGCCTGTTCCTGGGGGAAACGCAGAGAAGAAGTACATTACAAATAAAGACAACCCTGTTTTATTATTATTAGTTTTGTGGCAGTTTTTAATCTATAACCATAACCCCCAGTAGCCATGATAGACCCTTTCCTCTGAATTATGTTGCCGTTTAGGTCCAACTTCACTCTTCTGTCAACTGTTAACATTAGCAATCCACAATGAGCTGTGCAGTTATTTTTCTGATAAACTGGACAGCTAGCAAAATATTATCCTACTTATACCACAGCCTAAATAATCCGCAATTTTAATTAAATTATTAATTTTGCAGGGCAATGCACTCAAACTTAAGCCAACCTTAAGGTGTGTTGAGACTGAACACAACTGCTAAAGTCTCTGAATAGTCCATTTGTCTTTAATAACTGTACAGATGTTCGCAGTAAGATGGCTAGCAACTCTGATTTCAAAATTTACTAGCAACGTTCAGTTCATTCTTTATTTGTTAAGACTCCTCGTCTTTTTATCATCTCCCCATCTTCATGAATTGGATATGGGATAAGCATATTTTCCCCCTCATGTTGAAACATTTTAACTTGCAGGGTCTACTTTGCCTTAATTTGTGGTGCCCAGTGTGAATTTACATCCACTTGTGTCTTTGAATTGATTTTATAAGCAATGGCAGCACTTCTAAAACTCACTTGCATTCAATCTGAAAACTCCTTTAGAATCAATGTAACTTCAACCTCAAAAAAGCAGCAGAGTTCTAATTTATTTATTTAATTTCAGAGCTGTGTAGTTATTTGAAAATAATCTGCACCCTCTGGCCCAGTCAACCTTCTTTAGGGCCATGTTAGAACACAACAAGGGCAACGTGAAACATTTATGAGTTGTTGCTTTTTTGTGAGTGAGAATTTTGTTTTGTTTTTACACTTTAGACACTCTAGAACTCAATACATTTTTCATGTGGCCCTAATCGTCTTCTGTAGAACAGGGGACTACATTTGACCTATATAGAACATCAGTGTTAAAACTGTGAAATGGCCTATACATGGCTTTTTTTGGAGCCATGGTACCCTTTAAAAACACTACAAGCCAGTGGTCCTTAAATGAACTGAGGCAAGTACATCCTTTCACATGCAGGAGCGATGGACTTTTATTACAATTACGTAACACAAGCTCATGTGCATAGAGGTATATCTTCACTCAGCCTTGACACATTCTAATGTCACAATCTTCCAGCAAGCCTTCCAGCATGAAGCTTGCGCATCGTTTATTCTCTCTGCCCATCTAGGCTTTGTGGGAATGGGAGACCAGCAGTCCATCATACACCTAGACAAACAAGCAGCCGGACAGGAGTGCAAAACTCAAGACTACTGTGGCACTAACGCTGGCAAAGTGGAATATATTACCATCTGTTGATTGACCACTTCACCAGCAACACACAGGCCTACAGTGAGCACTGTAACAGACTAATGCAGGTGGGACTAGAAAAGAAAATTAAGATGCCTATACAGTACAGAAGAAAATTGTGCTGAAACACTTCTTCTAACATGTTAATAATGGATCGCTATCTGCATTTACCGACAAACCGTCCAGCCAGTATGGCTTATAAGAGAAAAGGAACTCATGACAATCGTTAGTTCTAGCATTAAGGCAAGGTTTTAACTAGCTTGTTGGGTAGAGCCGTTTCTTTTCAGGGGAAGAACCGTACATGTTGACACAAACAGTTGTTGAAAGGAATACTTAATTTAGTGGATCAGCAGCTACATGGGAGAGATTTCCACCTGACTAGGTTAATGGAAAACTACGTTCACATCTTTTCTGACAAACAACAAGATCTTAAATTTAAGACCCATATAAACATTTTTTTAGGCAACATGCCTAAAAGATAAATTGTGTCTTGTGTCGAGTAGCTGAGGCTATCGTAAATATGCAACAGCTTTAAAAAGGAAGACTTAAAAGTGAATAAAAAATAAAACAGAGACATGTTGATTAGGGTAAAAGAGAGAAATTACAGAAAGTAAGTGGACACCCCTCATTAAATCCATGCAATCCACTCGCATAAATACAATGCTCCAACTAAGAAAGAATCACATTTAAAACTCAATAAAACTATTATCCACCAATATAATAGGTACTATTGTCAATCTGGATAGAGATTATAATTATTTTATCTGATTCAACTGGAAGGCACATCCATAAGGCTTCAGAAGGTGTTGCAAAGCATTCTGCATGGTTCTCTCCCAATATTTAAGGAAAACAACAGGGTGATTATTGCTGCATCACAAACACAACAACTTGTCCAATTAACTTAACAAGTTTGACATCAAGATATTCCATATCATGAGAACAATGTGGACATTGTGCACGACTGCTTTGGAGCCTGAGAGAAATCAACTGACAAAAATGAAATTTTCATGAGGAAATTAGAAGAAACTAGAGCTACGAGGGAAAAACCCAGACATCTTGGATTAAATAGTAAGAAAGGAGCAGAGTGGGAACCCTTACAACCACCCCCCACCCACCTTCAACCCTGACATTCCTCCATCACTTGTAGGGCTTTTTACACATCTCAATATCACTTCCTTCATCTTTATTTATATTCTCAGTGTGGTTTCCATCAGTGGCTGTGTTTTCTACCGTCTCTGGAGTGTATGTGGTGCACCTTTAGGTTTGGACTGGAACTGGGATGTGTGTGTGGGTCTGCTCCCAGAAGCAGAAGTGGATGTGAGACTTAAAAACTCAGATTTTCTTCTCAGCGCGTGTGTTTAAGAGTAGAAGGTGAGGACGCTCTGGTGGTTGCCACGCACCAGGAGGATGGGTGGCAGGTCCTTAGACAACACCTCCAGCCAGGCCATGTACAGAGCGCTGGACACCGCGCCCTTCCTGGCCAATGGCAGACTCCTGCACAGAGGAAGAGGAAGCAGGAAAAGAAGAGGCAATAATTAATAGGGCTGCTTTGGTTAAAATTCATTGATACTAGTACCAATACAATGCCAGAGATTCAGTACTGATACTCCCTGCAATTAGTACATTTCTATAAATCCCTTTTTAAATCAATTAACAAAAAAGGTTTTAAAATGTTCACTGCTCTCTTAACACAAGCAGGGGCCCAAAAACTATTATAAAATTATATATTAAATTATAAATAAAAAACCACAAAGATACATCTAGTCACCTTTTAGATTATCAGTCAGTAAAAATCACTTTTTTCTGTGTACAACTGAGTGGTAGCTAGCTACTCACAGCAGTGCAATTATGAATCTATTGTTTTTCTTGCCAAGACATGCCCTGCGTAGCATTCAAATTCTAGGATTGGCCAGGCACCTAAGCTCGTCAGGTGCTGTATAGAAAGCTTAATAAAAAATTTAAAAAAGCCAATGTCCAACGGTAAGAAGAAAGTTGTGGTGGGTGAATGGGTTAAAAACTAGACCTGCATCTGGGAGGCATTTCTTCATTTAAAAAAAATCTTCAGTTTTTTCTAGCAGAGTGACCGTGTTTTGGATTGGAAAGTTACAAAAGTAGTTGGACAACATCTCCCCCTTTTCTGACATTGGAAGGGAGGGGGTTTCTGACAGTGTTCGACCATCCAACTAAAAACCATACAGATGCCTTTTACTTCATAATTTAGTCCCCAGTTAGTCCCATTTCCATGTAACATCTCACATCGGTCTTTCAAAATGTCTTTACAAATGTCCAGCCTTTACCACTTAAGGAGTGGGAAAGATGATACGGCCTCAGCTACTACATAACTCTTGCATGAACTCAGTGTGTAGTCAACATGTTAAAAGAAAAACACACACACACACACACAGAGTGGCAGCTTACATGACGATGAGGTTGGCTGTGCTCGAGTGCTCCTTCAGCAGTTCGTTGAGTCTGATCTGACGATTAGTCTGAAGAGCAAAACAAACAGTGTTGTAGCAGCTTGTGATAATTATCTGGTAAGCTGATACCTGAATGTTTGAACCTGACTGTGACCCAGCAGTGCAGCTCACACTGCCTCACTGAACTCTTTCCACCAACTGTTTACTGAAGCAGTTAAATTGGGCTGCAGTGGATTCGAAAAGTATTCACTCTCCAGGCTCTGGAAGATGTATTCATATGGAACTGTAGCAGTGTGCTGACCTTGGCGCGGTACAGCTCCAGCTCATTGTCAGTGATCCTCCAGGGTTCGCTGTTCTTCAGCCTCTCAGCTGCCTCCTGCTCCATGTCGTCTTCCTTCAACCGATATGGCTCGATCAACTCCTCAAAGGCCGACACGCTGCACAACAACAGCTTCATGTTAATCCCCTTATACAAGCCAGGCAACAACATCATAAAGCCTTAAAGAATATGGAGATTTCTATTGCGTTTACTTGAATGATTGAAAATGTGGCAACTGTGGAAAGGGGTTCAATGTCAGGGAGAGTTTAAGCAAATATGACAGAGAATCCACCGGGCCTGAACGAAAACAACCAATCAGAGCAGAGATTTTGAGTTGGCGACTTGAAGCTTTGGCACCCCAAGTGTTGGTATTTGACGACCGTTTTTTGTCCAAGCCCAGTGGATTCTTGCAGATACCATTAGGAGCACTAGGAGGAGCCAGATGTTTTCACAAATTATCTGTCTCATGTCCTACTGTCAGGATATAGTGAAAGTTTCTGTAAATATGACTAAACATTATTTTAATAAAAGCTACCTACTGCAGCTTTAAATGGTTTCTTTACAACTTCTTTTGGTAGTTTCAGCCATTGTGATATTGATACAAAGACATCATGTCAAGGAACATGGGCAGATGTTCCAACAGTTTACCCATCTCATCTAAATACTTTATTTGGGTAATAATTTTTTCGTCCAAGTAAGTTTGACTAATCTTTCCAACCTTTCTTCTCTTTCTTACTTCTTTTCAGTGACGTCACTGGGTTCCTAAATCTCAGCTTTGAACTAGGTCAATATGACGTTATTAACTCCGCCAAGGAGCTTATGTTTTACATGCCATTTATTTGTTTATTAGTAGGATTACAGAAAAACTACTGGCCCCATTTTCATGTAACATCAAATATCACTGTATAAATACGTGCAGCAGGTATGTGAGAAATAAGCAATCAGGCTTGTTTTGGATTTATCCAAAGTTCTGGATAGTCTGACCTGAAAATGTGACCTATGTGAATTGTGCATGTAAGTGCATGTAAAAATTGGCTGGAATTATCCTTTAAGTTACAGCAAAAGGTAAAACAACACATTTATGCATCCACATGATCAAAAGTAATGTAGAAAAATACCAGTCTGTCTGTCAGCAAGTCATATCTAAAATCTAATTTAATCTAATTATCTGTTCAAAGCAAACTAAAATGTGACCTAAAGTCATTTGTCTATTAGTATCTGCTGCTTCACACACACAGACCACATGAGGGCAGCAGTGATTCACTCTTCCACTGGCTCTCTAGCCAAAGACTTGTCCACCTATCACTATCTATTGATGTGAAACATGGTTCTTAAATATCCATATAGTAAAGATGAAACACATGCATGAAAATAAACAATGGTTGGCTTTCTACCTTACCTAGCCTTACACAGAAACACTGAAGTTGGATGTTTGTTCTGTTCAGCTGCTGTAGTACTTTCTACGTGACATGACTTGTTATAGAATCAGTGCTGTAGAAATGGACCTTATACTGAATTTACTAGAATCTAAAATCTAAAGTTGGTATTGTCTCAAAAATCATTCAGTCAGGCTTTACAATCTACTACGTAGCTATTATATCACACGTCATTTCACCCCCCGTCCTCAGTATCTTTACCCATCCTTTACTAGTGACAGGCCTCTATTTGAGAGTTTACATTAGGTTACATTAAGTGTTGCATGTCCAGCAGAACATGCAGGGTGAGTAAAAAGTTATTTTAACTGATAGGAATGATGGTCAGAACTGTGAAATGTGACTCAGCTGGTGGAAAAGCTTTACTCTTTGAAGTTGACTGAAGAGGACTTACTGCTCCTTCTTGGGCTTGGTGTTTATGTCTCCCAGCACGGTGATGTCTGAGAAGTCTATCCTGAACTTGCTCAGCAGAGTGGCCATCCTGCATGGAAAGAAAGCAAAGACAAAAGAGCTTTGGGATCAATTCTGGAAACCAGGTGCAAGACGAGCTGTGGCCGGAGATAACAGCACTGACTGGTGAAGGCCAGAGGAAGCAACTTTAAATAACTCTGTTTGAACATGGAGGTTCTGGGAGGGTGGAAGCAGGTGTGCTGGGCTTTACTGGCAGCACTGTGGCATTCTGCGTATGAGAGTAATTTCCTTTGGCTTCAACTTCAAAGAAGCTGAGAGCTTGAAAGCATTATCTGTCACAAATGGAGCTTTTGTTTTAGTACTACTCCAACGTCCCTGGTTTCAAAACTCAATACAAATTAAATCGTATGCTGCTCTGATCAATATTTCATATCAACAATGGCTCAAATCACATCCATGAAGCTTTATAAACGTTACGGCTCAGTCTATGTGCTCTCAGCAACCTTGTTCCAAGCAGCAGGCAGCTGTCTTCAATGAAAAGCTCTGATACACCCACTGAACTCTACCTGCTGGTTATCATAGTGGAGCATTTACGAGCTAAAGAGACACACATTTCCCTCAGGACCAAAACAGAGCTAAAAGAGAGAGCGCCAAATCAATGCAAATTCTCACTTTATGTGGTGATACTATGCCAAATGTGTGTGATTTTCCACTTCTACAGAACACCTTCTACCAAAAAACATTCCCTATGAAAACTAGTGGAAATGAGTTCTGAGGACCAAAGTAAGGTTTCTTTTGTTTTGTGTCATTTGGTTGAAGTAAGCCTTTGCAATGTCTCTTTCCAGAAATCATGACCCGGTTACTCGAGATAAACTTTGTTGTGAGCAGTTTCATGTTGGAAACTCGGCTAAGCTGTAACGTTAGCTAGCTTACCTAGCGCCACTGAGATAGCTAATGTTCAGCTACAGCTGGCAGGTGTAGTTTGGTAGAGAGAAAATAGAAAAATATGCGTTCGCATTTTGGGGTGAACTCTCCCTTTAACATACCTGCAGTAACTTACAATCAAAAAACTATATTTTTTTACAAAACAAAAATCAAATCTATTTGAACAGATACAGTGGTATGCAAAAGTTTGGGCACCCCTCTGAGATTTCATGATAATTTGCTCTACCTTTATAAGAGAAGATCACAGCAACAAGATTTGTTTTCCTACAGAGATGTAGACATTTTGAGTGTTTTCCAGACCGAAATTCTTAGAGTAGCATTACATAGTTTTATTATAATAAAATAAAATGTAAAAAATGGGATGTACAAAAGTTTGGGCACCCTTTTAAACGTATTCATTTTAAGACCTGTAGGGATTTATAGCTGACAGGTTGCAGCACAAAATTGCTTTGATTAGCTCGTAAGACCTTCAATTACAAAGACAGGTGGAACTAATCATGAAAAAGGCTGTTTAACA